AACACATGTGGACGGAATAGGTGTGTGTGTGTCGTGTTTGACTTTTGGTTCTATGATAGTGGATGAAGGACAGTAATAAGGTGTAAAAATATAAGGTAGTGTATAGTTCTCAATTGTAGTGTTGTTCATAATGACTAACATTTGTCCCCTTCTCCAATTAATGATACCAGTTATTTAATCATTATTAAAAGTAATAAGGCCTGTCTATTTACATTGATATGCAACCTTAACTGTGCACATTTCTGCGTTATAAGATCTAACAATTTTCTGTGAACCTTTAAACAAACATAATGCATCGGTTTCATTAGCTGTAGACACATTTCATATGGGTAACTGGTACTTATAAGGGTTACTATTTGTCCAATTCATCCAAATGCGTTCAGTCAATGAGTGCTTGCATATTACATGCTGATAGAAAGGTGGTGGAGAAAGGTTCTTGAGGGAGCGTGTGTGACGAATGCTAGATGAGGGGCTAAGGCCTAATTGGGCTGGGGGTATTGAAGAATTGTTCATCATGTCAGAGTCTTTTTCCAGAACTTGCCATTGACTTGTACTCATAATGGCATTCAAGGAACAATATCAGAGGGAGTATAACAACTCCAGAAAGCACAGCACACAACATAATCTTGGTCTCAGGTACGTATGATCCTCTCAATCTACGATATGGTGTAAAAGCCATGATGCTTCGCTGAGGAGAAATTCTTCTGTTTCCGAGCGAGGAGTGGTGTTGTCTTCCTTGGTTCCCCTCTTTGGACACAGCTTCACTCGGGATGCGTGAATCCAGATGTCATGGGAATCTGTGGACAGCGGTTCTGGGTACAGCAATCACAGTAGCAGGTGGTCCAAAAGGGTATCCTCTTTTCTTGGTCCTGTTCAGCTGACGGATATACACCTTGTCACCGGGCTGGTATGAATGAGTAGGTTCCTGTGAAGGTAAGGGAAAACTGCGAAGAAACATTGTCATACATACCATTCGGGTTTATCAACAATTCACCTTGTGGGGATATATTCTTATCTCAGCTAAAATAGCTGGTAGATATCTAGTCCAATTTACCCATGTTCCTGGGTAAATTCTGGGCTTTTCCTTAATAGTCCTATTCATCCTTTCAACTACCCCTGTATTCTGTGGATGATAGGGTATATGAAACTGCCAGGTAATTTGCAAGAATTTAGCAAGTTCCTGGGCAACCCCACTGGCAAAAACCGGGCCATTATCAGAGCCAATCTGCAGAGGGCAGCCATACCTGGGAATAATTTCAGTAACAATAAACTTCACTAGAATCTTCCCTAGATATCACAAAGGCCTCATGCCATCTACTAAACTGATTAACTATGACCAGTAAGTATTGCTGTTTCTTACCAATTTTGGATACATGAATAAAATCAATCTGTAAGTGTGTAAAAAGAGCAGCGTTCACACGATCTTACAAAAGACTGTACATGCTGCCTGAGATTCCTAATATAAAATGAATTCATGAGGAATTGAATGGTGCTTGCTATGTGCCTGACTGATGAAAATAAATCAGCTTGCTTCAAGTATGCCTATTCTCCCCTCTTTAGAGAACAGATCATTTTGATCTTTCTCTAAACCTTGTTTAATCCAAAAGACAGATTCTGGGTATTAAAAAAAGAATCTCATAACCACTGAAGCGCTGGGCTGTCATGTGTTGTATGGTGATATTTATTATCAGCTGAGTGACCTGGTGACTGGCATGAAGTATTGTAGGATGCCCTAGTGTGATAGTAGTAGCAGTTTCAACAGCCATTGCACATGCTATCAATGCTCTGAGACACGCTGGCATACCCTGTACCGGAGCTTGAACTACTTTGGAAAAGAATGCTATGGGACGCATACCGCCTCCTTGCTCTTGTGCACAGACTGCGGCCATGGTTTTACAATTGTCCCAAACATACAAATGAAATGGTTTACAATACACAGGTAGTCCTAAAGCCTGGGCTTGCACAATAACAACTGTAAGGGCAATATATGCAGCTAGCATGTCTGGTGACCAGCAGACATTTTCAGGGCTGTCAGAACGTACAGCCTCCCTTAGGATTGAGTCATAATGGGAGCATTCAGGGATCCATGGTGGCAGTAATTAATCATGCCGAGGAAGGTGAGCAACTCCTTCCGAATAGTGGGTGTAGGAATCCTCTGAATGACCTCAATACGTTTTGGACTCAATTGTCTGGTGCCTGAAGCCAGAACAAAACCTAAGTATTCAACCTTTGATTTACACAATTGCATTTTGTGTTTAACAACCTTGTGACCTACAGTTGCTGACAGTATCCACAGTGCTTGCCTCATAGCTAGGGCTACATAACAACAAATCATCAACATTTTGCAAAAAGGACGGAACCATGACCGGTGGTCCATGTTTTTTAGAGTATGTTGGAGTACCAACGAATAAACAGCTGGGGAATCCACATAGCCTTGGGTAAGCGTGTCCAGGTAAACTGACAGCCTTCAAAAAGTAAAAACCATAAGTAGCTGTGTCTCTTGATCAATAGGTATAGAAAAAATGCATTACTTAAATCAATGACAGTGAAGCAAGTGGCATCATGTGGAATGGCTGTAATGAGGGATGTCACATCAGGGACAATGGGTGAAATGGGCACAATTAAACTATTCAGGGCTCTAAAGTCCTGAACTAAGCGATATGCTGGCCAGTGGTGTTGGGAGTGGGTCTGGTGTTGTTCTTGCCTACAGGGCATATTTTGAGAAAGGTGGGGTTGTTGGGGTGTGTGGGGTTTCCTGGGGTTTCCTGGGGTTTCCTGGGGTGTGGACACTCATTCCTCCAGTGGCCATATTGGCCACAGTTGAAACAAGTGTTCCTGTCTATTCCTCCTTGGTTACCCCTGCCCCTATAACCCTGATTTCCCTGTCTCCATCCCCTTGCCCCTCTTTGACCACCCCTTCCACTGGCTTTATGTGCTCCATCCCATCCTCGCTCTCAGCCTGTGTAGGTGGCAATCCCTGAGCATAATAAGCAACCTTACTTTCCTAAATCTTTTCTTAATTCAAAACAACCTGCATTTTCCTTTTCTATAACCTTGGTAAGAAAATCTGAGCTATCCAAATTGGCCCAGTCTGAAATCAATTGTTTCACAAGCAAATAATACTGTGGCAACATATTACCAAGGCATGACTGTATTTTAAAGAGATCTATATCATCTCCAGACATCAAACCTGCCTCATCCTTCCAACACTTGTAAAATTTCTTTACAAAAATCATATTACCAATCTCTTCCTTTGCATCTTGCTTATATGCCAAAGCAGTGAATATAGACTACCTATTCTTCCATAATCCCAACATTTCAGCTTCCACCTTGTTCCAAATTTTAGCACATCTTACTGAAGTACTAAGCTCATAATCACCAATTCATTTCAAACCATATAACTCATACTCAGCATCCAATGTAATATTACACGTCATCTCACAAAGCAATATTTTTGTAAAAACACATAATGGGTACCCAGCAGATATGCCAATACAGAAATCACATTTATGGGCACACAACTACACACTCTGTCTCCCTCCTAGGAAACACGGATAGACACAATATAAAAGCAATCTTAAACTAACACCTCCAAATCTCCAACTATTCTTGGCCAAAACGCTAGTATTCAACAACTAATAAAACAGTTATTTGCTAGGTTATTTGGCTGTCATTCTTATCAGTATCACTAGACTGTGACAAACTGATTCACATATAATTTAAAACAATACAGCAACATATAAATTAAACCACTTTCAAGTTAAACTGCACACTTCACACATTATCACAATCACCATTTACACAAAATAAACAGTTAACAGCTGTATTCAGAACATATTATTGGAAGGTATACCAATTTTAGTTTAGATTTATTTTAGGGATTCTTATGTGTACATTTTCTTAATTAACTTCATTACTTTAATCTACTATAGTATTGTATTTAAAGAAAGGATCCATTTATATAGCGCGCTCATAACTCAACTATTTGTATAAAACTTCCATTAACTAATCTGAGATGATGCTGCATCAACTTAAATCTTACAGAAATTGAACAAACATCTGGACCAGATTAAACAGACATGGTTTCACCTGAATCTTTCAGAACTCTCAGAGACTTAAAAATTTATACTATACCATGTTTTAACGGCATGGCAAACCTTTAGACCGGTCAGTCTCCAAGAGCCCTTAGTAACACAGGTAAAAACCTTTGTCCATGATGTCTGATTCAGGCTATATACCACAATTTAAAATATCACATAATGTGAGACATAGAAGACACAAGCAGTAGTTATTACACTGGATCATTTAAAAGGAACCTGTTGCAATAAAAAGGTTAGTTTACAGTGCAAAATAAAGCATGTGTTGGACCGCTGAAAATGTAAATGTTGCTCTGTTATTTTCAAACATAAATTATATTTACAGTATGGATCCTTTGCAACAAACACACAGGGCAGGGAAGATGTGCTGATTGGTGTTTCTATACAATTAATCCCATATGGGGAATTAACTTTCAAATACTAATGAAGTGACTTTTTGTCTCAGTTATAAAATATACTGAGCTCATCATGCAAACAATGTAACACATTTACACTATCCCACTCTCATAATAAGTGTAGTGGGCTTATAGTATTTTTAAAGCAACAATCATTCCAGGCACACAGTTCCCATGTGAAATAACTTACAATAAAACAGAGTAATAAACTTATACTTCTATGCGACAGAAAGAATAAAGTAAAAAGATTTAGGTAGGTCTATCAGGTACAACCTATGAGTAATTTCTTTTCTAATATACAGTACTGCTATCTTGCAAAAAGATAAGTCCTGCGCTCACTCCCATCACTACTGGGCAGCAGCAAGGACTACAGTACACATCAGCCCCAATATATGGTAAAAACCAAAGAAAAACAAGTTACCTGCGTTCTCTCCTTAATCCCTATGTATTTTTAAAACCTCCATTTGTTTAAAAGTACTGCTATCTTATATATACACATATACATATACACACACATATATACATACATATACACATATATACATACACACACATATACATGTACATATATTGGTCACTCAGGACATGAACTCACATTTCCCATACTGCTGACTCAGAGTGGGGACACTACTAACTTACCAAAGTGTGTCCCCAATATAGACAAACAATCACCCACAAAAAACACTTAAGACAAACAAAGGTGACCGGGAGAAAGAGAAGTTTGGGTTATACTTATAGATCTACAAACCATGCTGCTCAGAACACCTATAGACTTAATAAACCGGAGACCTCTTATGGTCTCAAAAACCTGTATCTACCTGAGATACCCTGTATCTATCTTAGATACTAACCTGGGTTACCAAAACCCTATAATAAACCGGAGACCTCTTATGGTCTCAAAAACCTGTATCTATCTTAGATACTAACCTGGGTTACCAAGAACCCTATATATATTTAGACCAAATGTCTAATAAACCGGAGACCTCTTATAGTCTCAATATAACTAGAGTCCTTACACCTTTCCTATCTACTGGATACAGTCTTACTGAACCAAAGGGGGTCATAGACAATCAGCGTCAAATAAGACACAAAAAGGCTACTCACCGCAATGGTTTTGCTGATCCAACTTCTATCCCACTTCTAGACACCAAGCTGAAAGGGTTAATGTTGTAATGGACTCTAATCCCCTCGGTTCTCGATCCCTCGGTCACCATAATCAACGTTGATGGAGAGTCATTTGTAAGCAATAACACACGGACAACAGCTTTACAAGACTCTCAAATGAGTGTATTCCAGAGCTGGCTTTTATACATAGTTTGCTTACATTAGCCATGGTATATGCAAATACAGTACAGACTATAAGATTTATTACTTCCTTGTATTACGTTATTCTGACAATGGAAAGATAAGCTTTTGCATACGTCTGGGAAAGAATATCCTTAAAATCGGAATGGGCAAGACATCCTGAAATTTAGCATTGTCTTACATCCTATAGAAGAAATACCTTAGTCTGTCACAGTCAGCATATTGACTTTAAGTATTCAATATCCCTTCAGTCAGCAATAATCATGTTATAAACCTTATAAAAGCATAAAATACATATAAACAAGTTAACTATTTAATATTCTTACATCACCCTAATTGCACATTCTATGAACCTGGTTCAGCTCCAGCGTGGATTGTGATTTATTATTATTATTGCCATTTATATAGCGCCAACAGATTCCGTAGTGCTTTACAATATTATGAGAGGGGGATTTAACTATAAATAGGACAATTACAAATAAACTTACGGGGACGATAGGTTGGAGAGGACCCTGCTCAATCGAGCTTTCATTCTATAGGAGGTTGGGTGTAAAACACATAAGGACAGGAATTTGCAGTCAAATAAGGTGGGCTGCCCTTTAGGAGAGAGCAAGACACAGGTATGTGAGGTCAGTGGCGTACACATGACCCATGGGGCCCCGGTGCGGAAATTGATCCGTGGGCCCCCCCCACCGCGCGCTTACTTGGCGCAGGTTGGGGCCGCAACACATGGCGGCGGGCACCTGGTCGCAGGGGTTGCATGGCTGCGACCCCGCGACCGAGGTATGCACACACACTTAAAGGACCACTACAGACACCCAGATCACATCAGCTCAATGAAGTGGTCTGGGTGCCAGGTCCCTCTAGTTTTAACCCTGCAGCTGAAAACATAGCCGTTTCAGAGAAACGGCTATGTTTCACTGAGGATTAATCCAGCCTCTGGTGGCTGTCTCATTGACAGCTGCTAGAGGAGCTTCCGCGATTCTCACTGTGAAAATCACAGTGAGAAGACACTGAACGTCCATAGGAAAGCATTGAGTAATGCTTTCCTATGGGCGGTTTAAATGCGCGCGCGCCTCTTGCCGCGCATGTGCATTCGGAGCTGAGAGGCGGAGGGATCCCCAGCGCCAAGGAAGTCCAACGCTGGAGAAAGGTAAATGCTAAAGACACACACACACACTCTCACGAACAGACGCATACACATTGGTAACAGACACACACATTTACTGACAGAGACACACTCAGTGACAGACATACATACACACTCACTTACAAAACATAAACTTTCACTGACAAACACACACTCACTAACAGACATCAAACACACTCAGTAACAGACACACACAGTAACACATTCACTAGCAGACACACACCCAATAACAGACACACTCACTGACACACACACTAACACAAACACACACTAACACAAACACACACTAACACATACACACAAACACACACATTGACACATACACACAAACACTAACATACACACAAACACTAACACACACACACACTAACACACAAGCACACATACACACGCTAACACACACACACACACACTAACACACAAGCACACGCTAACACAAACACACACACACTAACACACACACACACACTAACACATTTTTTTTTTTAAATTTAATCCCTTCCTCTTCAGCTCCCTCGCGTGCCGCATAGGGATGCCGGCGCCGGAAGATGACGTCATCTTCCGGCTCCGGTATCAGTGCGGTGCGCGAGGGAGCTGAAGAGGAAGCACTTAGGGGAAAGTGCTCCCTCACGCACCGGCCACCCAGATAGCCAGCCCGCCCACCCGCCAGGGTAAGCAGGGCCAGCCGGGCCAGCCTCGGGGGGGGGCCTGAGGTGGCCGGCTCCTGGGCCCCCCAGGAGAAAAGGCTGGCCCTCTGGGTACATACCGGGTTGCAGGGGCTAACGGGCCCCCTGGTGGGCCAGGCCCGGTCGCAGCCACGACCCCTGCGACCCTGGTATGTACGCCACTGTGTGAGGTAGAGGTTACTCTGGGAGGCCATAAGCTTTCCTAAAGACATGGGTTTTAAGGCACTTCTTAAAAGATGCAAGACTAGGGGAGAGTCTGATGGCGGTAGGCAGGCTATTCTATAGGAAGGGAGCCGCCCGCGAGAAGTCCTGCAAGCGTGAGTTGGCCGTACGGGTATGGACAACGGACAGGAGGTGGTCACGTGCAAAACGGAGAGACAGAGAAGGGACATACCTATGGATCTGTGAGGAGATATAAGAGGGGCTAGAGTTGTTCAGTGCTTTATAGGTGTGAATTAGTACCTTGAATTGACTCCTATAGCATACAGGAAGCCAATGTAAGGACTGGCAGAGGGGTGAGGTGTGAGAGAAACGACTAGAGAGGAAAATCAGTCTTGCAGCAGCGTTCATTACGGACTGTAGCGGTGCAGTACGGCTTTTGGGAAGACCAATCAGGAGAGGGTTACAATAATCCATGCGGGAAATTACTAGAGCATGGACAAGCTTTTACTAGCAAGGAATTACTAGAGCATGGACAGGCGGGCTATGTTTTTAAGATGGAATCTACAGGATTTGGCAACATGCTGGATGTGAGGCACAAAGGTGAGGCCAGAATCAAATATGACGCCAAGACAGCGCGCTTGCAAGGATGGACTGATGTGGGTACCACAAACTTGAAGGGAGAGCGAAAGAGGAGGATCAGTATTAGGAGGAGGAAAGACAAGGAGCTAATTTTTAGAGAGATTGAGTTTCAGAAAGCGGGAGGACATCCAGTCAGAGATGGAAGAAAGGCAAGCAATGACACGTTGCATGACGGCAGGGGAGAGGTCTGGGGAGGAGAGATATAACTGGGTGTCATCAGCAAACAGGTGGTAGTGGAATCCAAAAGAGGTAATAAGTTTGCCAAGAGAGGCAGTATAAAGAGAAAATAGAAGGGGACCAAGGACAGAGCCTTGGGGGACTCCAACCGAGACAGGATGAGGGGAGGAGGTATCATTAGAAAAAGAGACACTAAATGAGCGTTGGGAGAGGTAAGAGGAAAACCACGAGAGGACAGAGTCACAGAGACCAAGCGATTGAAGAGTTTGAAGAAGGAAAGCATGATCAACGGTGTCAAAGGCCGCTGAGAGGTCAAGAAGAATTCGTATGGAGTAGTGGCCTTTGGATTTAGCTGCGATTATGTCGTTAGTAACTTTGATAAGCACAGTCTCAGTAGAGTGGAGAGGGCGGAAGCCAGATTGAAGAGGGTCAAGGAGAGAGTTGGAATTGAGGAAATGAGACACACGGGTAAAGACAAGTCTTTCCAGAAGTTTTAAGGAAAAAGGGAGCAGGGATATAGGACGATAGTTAGAGGGGGTGGACGGGTCGAGGGATAGTTTTTTTAGTATAGGTACTACAGTGGCATGTTTAAAGTCAGCAGGGACAATGCCAGAAGAGAGAGAGCAGTTGAAGATGTGTGTTAAGGAAGGCACGAGACAAGTGGAGAGAGATCTAATAAGGTGAGATGGGACAGGATCGAGTGGGCAAGTGGTGGGGCGAGAGGAACAAAGAAGAGCAGCCACCTCTTGATCAGTAGCCGGGGAGAATGTCTGAAGGGTATGAAAGGCATGATCTATGTGTGGTTGAGAAACAGAATGGCAAGGAGGGGAGAATTCTTTCCTTAGCTGTTCAATCTTGTCAGTAAAGTAACATGCATAGTTATTAGCAGTAAGGTTAGTTTGGGGGGTGGCCACAGCAGGGCAAAGAAGAGAATTAAAGGTGTCAAAGAGACGCCTGGGATTGCAGTAGCATGAACTAATGAGAGAGGAAAAGTAGGACTGTTTGGCAAGGGCAAGGGCTGCACTGTATGAACACAATATGAATCTATAATGAAGAAAGTCTGACTGGGTGCGAGACTTCCTCCAGGAGCGTTCAGCACAACGGGAGCATCTTTGCAGGTAGCGTGTTGATTTAGTATGCCATGGTTGGGGGCGGGTCCTCCTCGAGGTGCTTGTTTGGAGTGGTGCTGCAGCGTTTAAGGCAGAGGTGAGGGTATGCGCCGTATATGCTAGAGGGTCCGTCCGGGCCCCCTTTCCCTCTTTTTTTTTTTTTTACTTTTTGGGTTTTGTATTTTTTGTTTTGTTTAATTCTTTATTTTTATTTATTTATTTATGTTTTGATTTTTTTTATTGTTTTTTTGTTTGCAAAACTATTTGTTTTATATTGTCAATAACAGTAACATGGGAGACAGAGGCCTGTATGACAGAATAAATCCATGGGAGTCTCAACTATACAATACCCATCGGTATAATACCCATCGCCCCTATCATGCCCACGTTACATAAGGTAAAGAGACAGTTTCAATGTGTCATTTCGCCTAGGCTAAGCAGGCACGACAGGTTTACTGATAGGTGGAAGCAGGGCCAGCCTTAGGGGTGTGAGAGCTGTGTGGCCACAAAGGGCGCCATGGTCCAGGGGGTGTCATGTGGCCGACACAGTTTGCACATGGCCGGTGTCAGGGGAGCTAAAACAGGTACCCAGGTGGAGGCGCCGTGAAGACTTTTCACACAGGGCGCCTAATTGCCCTGGGTGGAAGCTCCCTTACAACTTAGGTTGTACACTAATATGTTGTGCACAGGGACATGGATGGAGGACTATGTGGCATATGATGCAATAGGTAACAATACCTCTACCTCCACCATGTCCACACACAATATGTAAGCGTGGGGTTAGTGAGGTAATTTAAGAACCACTTGAGGGGGTATGATACTGCCGCTTGTTTAGTATAACAACAACTTTTGTTCCTAGCTTAAAAAATGACCTTTAACAGCCTGTGTTATGATCAAGAACTGGTATAAACTAATTAACCTTAAGGAATAAAGAACAGTTCTCCCTACGCATCATGGAGAATGGGGAGCCTGCCATTTGCCATTCAGGTTGCATCTTCGGCGGAGAAGATCTGCTTGATGGGAGCGGATCTGTTGCTCGAAATAGGCCATATTCCTTGAGCTTGGAGATACCAACTTCTGGCTCCAGGATAACCACCGATCTTCCTCGTGGTTGCGTAGGGTTTTGGTGACAGATATGAATTCACGTCTCTGTGCCATCGTGGATACGGAAAGATCCACATAGATGTTGATTCCTTGATATGGATCTGGGAGCGTAGCAAGTTTGTGCGTGGTGTTTAGTAGGAGATCTTTGGACTTTTAATATTGGAACCTGGCTATTGT